TCTAAATTATCACGCTCTGTCTATTTTCATTAGACTTCCAAATCCACGGGGGTAAAAATTCCGCCCGCGAACAAACTTTAGAGCGCTCAGGTTACTACGCCATAGCATAGATTAAAAGAAGTAGATATACTCCTTTTATCTATGGTAATAGTGACGTCAGCTTTGCCCAGGGTGTAAATTTCCAGGGGGATAAAATTCCGGCGACCCGTTTTTACAAGTGTGGTGATGTTTTAATTTTCATGCAGTGGTAGGAAAACCCCATTCCTATACTTCCTACGTTTGACTGTGCTCTCAACACAGCTGAAATGTACCGGACCCGGCGTAACTGCAAACATAATTGTTTCCCATAAAAATGTTTCTAACTGTTTGTAACTATCCAATTATGGTTTGATTTTATTTTATTTGTCCCTGAAATAGGACCCTACAATAAATTTAAAATCTGATAGATCTGGCATATACTGTAACATTTTAAACACGATCTTAGCAATAATTGAAGTCCGTGTTAAACTATGTCAAGGTATAATCTCGTTGCTTTTTGTAGTTTGTGGACACATCAAGTCACGCTGTATTGAAATGATCTAAACATTATTGAGAAATTCGACGAACTGTTGAATTTTCTCCGTGATAATTATGCCATACAGCGATTGTATGAGACGTAGGATACTGTCTATATTGTTTTTATCTAGGCCTACTGGTTTTGTTTACTAGCACCAGCACCAGCTCCAGCAGCGGCTGCTATTGGATCCTGTCTATACTGTAATACTGTTTTTGTCTACACCGCTACTCCTACCATTGTCACTGTCTGTTTGCCAACACTGGACACCAGGACGGACGTGGTCGATGTTACAACTAGTTCCTGTCGATGGCGTAACTCGAGTTTTGGCACCGAGGATCATCTTGTGTCACTTAACTAGGGCTACAGCGTGTTGGCGATGCAATATAACACCAGCAGACTTCTCAATTCCGAGGATCATCTTGTGTCACTTAACTAGGGCTACAGCGTGTTGACGATGCAATATAACCCTAGACCAACTAACACCAGTAGACTTCTCAATTCCGAGGATCATCTTGTGTCACTAACTAGGGCTACAGCGTGTTGACGATGCAATATAACCCTAGACCAACTAACACCAGTAGACTTCTCAATTCCGAGGATCATCTTGTGTCACTAACTAGGGCTACAGCGTGTTGACGATGCAATATAACCCTAGACCAACTAACACCAGTAGACTTCTCAATTCCGAGGATCATCTTGTGTCACTAACTAGGGCTACAGCGTGTTGACGATGCAATATAACCCTAGACCAACTAACACCAGTAGACTTCTCAATTCCGAGGATCATCTTGTGTCACTAACTAGGGCTACAGCGTGTTGACGATGCAATATAACCCTAGACCAACTAACACCAGTAGACTTCTCAATTCCGAGGATCATCTTGTGTCACTTAACTAGGGCTACAGCGTGTTGACGATGCAATATAACCCTAGACCAACTAACACCAGTAGACTTCTCAATTCCGAGGATCATCTTGTGTCACTAACTAGGGCTACAGCGTGTTGACGATGCAATATAACCCTAGACCAACTAACACCAGTAGACTACTCAATTCCGAGGATCATCTTGTGTCACTTAACTAGGGCTACAGCGTGTTGACGATGCAATATAACCCTAGACCAACTAACACCAGTAGACTTCTCAATTCTCATCCCATTGTAAAATCAGAACCTTCATTTTTTCCAGTTTATTTCATCTTTGTGACACTAAACGCTATAGAGTCGACTATTAAAAAAATACTTCGACTTCAGGGTTTAATATAATATTTGTGCTTTTTATCTTTTGGATGCAAAACAAAATGACAAACTAAGGTTTATAATAAGATAGTTTTAACAAATTTCCTATTGGTTAAAAAAATTGCTCAATAGCCATGGATTGGAGGAAAAAAATATTTTGTGCATTTAAGCGTTGTTGTACAATTAAAAGTTAGGAAGAAATTAAAAACAGAAAACTGTACATTTAAAATTCCTATTATGTTATTCTTCTGGAGAAAAAGTGAACCGTTGTAGTTTATTTGTTTATGGATATATTTTGGTCAATTTGGCAAATCTAATTTTTACTATACTATTAACAATTTACAATACCCCCACCGCAGCAAACCTGCCAACTAAGCGAATTCCCATTTGTCTGAATTGATTTTCAATTAAATCTACGATTTAAATAACATTAGGTTTAATGAGTACCTAGGTTTGCTGCTACAAAGAAACTAATAAAGTGTATTAAAAAAAATATATAAATAGCTTGGAATAAAACGAGAGCTCACCCTGTGGTCAAAAACTCGACCAAAAGTAAGTATTGTGCAAACTTCTCTATTTTCACCCCACGCTGTAAATAAAACATGTGATTGGAATTTCTTCCATTTGTTTTGATTTTTGTTTATTTTGTTGTTATTTCGTCACCAACATGGTAACCCATATGACCCATGTTAATACTTAAATTTTAAATTGATTTTTTGTGCTTATTTTTTTACCCTATTTTAATTTATAAAGGGATTCTGCACATCTACAGGAAAATATATTTAACTTGGCACCAGCCGCGTGTAATTAGTATGGTCAGGCTAGCTGTCATAAGTTTTGCAAAGCTTTTTAGTATATAAGATAGATAAATTTCCCAAGTTTGATCAAAATACACCCATAAACAAGCAAACTACAACATTTTACAATATTCTCCATTACAATAACTTAAGAATTTAAAATTTACAATTTTTTGAAATTTCTCCGTTACCAATAACCTTACAAAAAAACTTTAATTTACTAAATTATTTGTTTTTTAAGCCCTTTAAAAAGGTCTAGAGAGAAATAAGGAAATTTTGTGTTTTGAGGGTAAAAAATGAGAAAACCCATTTTTAACCCCCGTAAAACCCCGTTCCGATGGTCCGATCATGCTGGTTCGCGAGTTCAAGTTCACCCCTCCTTACACTTCAAACCAAATTTTATCTAAATCGAACAAAAAATACTCAAGTTGTTCACGGACGTATTTACGTAAACGTATATATATAAATTTAGACGAATTGTGTTTTTGGCCTCTGGGGACATCAAAATGAAAAAGTAAATCGGTCCCGGGCCTAGTCCTTACCTACACAATGGTTCCTTACCTACGGTAATAGCTACTTCCCTATAGGAAAATTCCCTAAAAACCCCTTTATTCCTTCCCGGTAAGCTAAGAGTTCGTTAAATCTAATGTTATTTATATAGGAAACTAGCTGGCCCGAAAGACCTCGTCCTGTCCTAATGTGGTTTTACGTCAATGCTCGTTCATTTTCAAGATGAGCTCGTTCGCAGGGCTCAATTACGTCCTGGTTGAAGTTTGTTTGCTACGCTTACTCACCTTTAGGTTGGAGCTCGTTCGCTGCCCTCACTTGCCTTCAGGCACAGAAAACATACTACTATAACATACTACTAAGGTTATAGTAGTATGTTTTCTGTGCTTCAGGTTAGCTCGTTCGCTACGCTCACTCACATTTTGGTAGCAAATTAGCTGTTGTCATAAATAAAAAAAAATAATAGTGCTGCACCTTGTTGCTAAACCTATTAATTTTTTAATGCTATTGAAGATCACAGAATCAAATTGTTTAGTTGAACCAGCAGTTAAGATTCTTTAATTCCATTTAAATATGAGTATTCGTAAGGTTAACATGGGAAACTCCAGCCCTTTTGACGGATCTGCACCAAACTTCACACAATCCATCCTTGAATAATGCTTAATAATGCCTGAAAGTCTCATTACAATCTGTCGAGCGGTTTCAAAGTCCATAAAGGACAAACAAACAAACAAACAAAGAAACATACATTAGATTTTATATAGATAATCATCTAGGAAAGATTTATGTTAAAATCTAATCAGACTAATGGAAATTCGCTTAGTCTGCAGGTTTGCCGTGTTGGGGGTATTATTTTGCCAAAGTATTATTGCCATAACTAAAATAACAAGAAATAAAGTGTGAATCAAAAGGTCTTGTTGCCGTTTAACGTCGACTCTTCGATTGATATTATTAATTAGTATTTCAAAATAAAGTAACTTCTGGCATACGTAAATAGGAACCTTATAGCTAATAGAAGATTGGAGATTATTTTAACATCATTGTATAATGGAACCTGTCTTCTGACCCTTCGTCGTTCGTCGGAACTTAAATCAATGGCCAGACCCCAGGTAAAGGAGGGCCAGAAGACATAATCCGTCATACGCAGTCCATAGTAAACGTAGCAATGTTCTTACTCAGGTTAAACAATTTATCTTTTCCCATAAGAATGTTAACGAGCCGAAAAAAAAAACTGGCGGTTGTGTTTCCCGGAAATGTTTCTTTGGAGTAGGTTTGCTTCCTTTGGTAAGTTGCCTACCTTGCATGGTGGTGTGGAAACCAAGTAGGAAACTGCTCTACAATCAGTACGGAGTGAAATAAAATACAATATACTAAAGCGTACATTTTATAACATGACGTACTTCGTACTGCTACTGCACATCGTAAAACCAGCGGGCAGCGAGTGTAATAAGCCAAACTCAAACTAAAAATTGATGTAAATTTATGACATTTAAAAATTATATTTTGGTGTATAAAGCAGAAAAAAACATTACTGTAAGTTGTACTGTAAGGTCTAATTTTAAATATTGAAAACTGAGAGGATACTTTAGATACTAGTACTAGAATACCGTGAATTGTAACCATGGGTTCAGGTTAATGGTGAATATCTGAGCGAGTAATTGATACGTAGAGCTTTGGTTACAAATCTTATCCTAGAAAGGTCACATTCTACATGGATTAATCCATGCAAAGTCCACAATAATAAATGCACCTGAAAGTGACTCGTTCTGTAGAACCTAAATTGCTATAAGACAGTTGGTTATTCTGCAATTTCGGTTTTACGTGTTGTGAAGCCACGTGGGGGGAGGGTTCAGAGTGTGTGTGTGAGTGTGTGTGTGAGTGTGTGTGTGTTTGGACAGTGTGCCAGGTATATAAGGCGAGGAATGACCAGTGGTCGCCACAGAGTACCACACCTTCATAGCTATGAGATCCACCGTAAGTACAACACTATGTACATCACGAAATTTTACTATCTATGTTATTAAAAGATTTTGTTGGATTTTTTTATCAAAGTTTGTTTAATTTTTTATACAACATTAAATATTGTGTTGGAAAACTAATCACAAATTTATGTTCAGGGGTTGCTTGAAAATATTTTAAATCAGTGATAAGTAAACGCTTATGGCGTAAAAAATAGATAGTTTTCAACTTAACTAAAATAGAAAATTGTAAATTAATTCAAATATATCACGGCTTTTGGTGTAGTGACACCAAAGTGAATTGACGCCGGCTGCTAGTCTTTCTTAATAGAATTAAACTGTTTAAAATCTGTAACTTACTCGCATCATACATGCTTGCACTTACAACAGAGAAAGTAATTTTAATGGTAATGTAAGTGGTCAAATAAATTTAGATTAATACAATTTAAATCTTAATTATATATTTGGTAAAATCACGTAATTTGAAGTACCAAACAATCCTTTTTTTATTATTTTTGCATTTCAGTCGATTTTACAAGTTAAATTGTTTGCTATGAGCCAATAATTTTTAGCGAATTTCCCTATAGGGAAGTAGCTATTACCGTAGGTCTCATGGTAAGACTTAGGCCCGGGACCGATTTACTTTTTCATTTTAATGTCCCCAGAGGCCAAAAACACCATTCGTTCAAATTTTTATATATGTATATATATATATATATATATATAGGTATATATATAGATTTATATATATATATATGTGTCCGTGAACACGATAACTTGAGTAATTTTTATCCGATTTTGATGAAATTTGGTTTGAAGGTGTAAGGCGGGATAAACTTGAATGAGTTCGCGATCCAGCATGATCGGACCATGGGAACAGGGTTTTATGGGGGGTTTTATGGGGTAAAAATTGGTTTTTCTCACTTTTTACCCTCAAAACACAAAATTTCCCAATTTTTCTCTAAACCTTCTTAAAGAGCTTAAAAAAACAAACAATTCAGTATATCAAAGTGTTTTTGTACGGTTATTGGTTACGGAGAAAACTAAAAAAATGGGAAATTTAAAATTCCCATGTTATTCTTATGGAGAATATTGTAAAATGTTGTAGTTTGCTTGTTTATGGATATATTTTGATCAAACTTGGCAAATTTATTTATTTTATAGTAAGCTATCAATATTTTACTATAAACACACTACTTTATTAGTTTCCTTGTAGCAGCAAACCTAGGTACTCGTTAAACCTAATAATGTTATTTAAATAGATCAATTGAAAATCAATTCGGCCAAATGGAAATTCGCTTAGACGGCAGGTTTGCTGCGGCGGGGGTATTTATTCAGTTTTTATATTCACACGTTATCAGAAAACCCGCAAATTTTTAAAATTCTACTAAATAATTCAATTTTTAGAATAATTTAACAGGCCCAAAGTCTATGTGGACGGGCATATGCAAGGTTAAAATAAGCCACCAACACCTTAAACATTTGTTGAAAATTATTTGGGAAACAGCTTCAAGCTAGCATAAAATATTTTACTAGGTACTATGCAAAAATGACTTGAAACCAGGATCTGTTTACATTATGACAAACATCAGCCCCAATGATTATTTTTTTAAAAGACAATTTAAAATCATATATATAACTTTTGAAATGCATTCTAATTTTTAAAATAATATACACAAATTTTAAATTTTATTTAACGGTTATATACACTTTTAGCTGGTGCAGTAATACAACATTTGTATACCGTAAATCGTAATCATAATGAATGACTGGACAGAAAAAAAACAGGCGGGTGTCCTACGAGTAGGTTTACAAATTAGATTTTTATTGTTGGCCTATTTATGCAGTGAAAGCTTTTAACATTTACACAATTCATATAATATGTATTGAAAACACTCTTTAAAAGCTTTAAGCTTCCTAACGTTTTTTAGGACAGAAATTTTGGCATATTGAAAATTTCACTGATTGGGAGCTTCTTATAAAATAGTAAATGTCATCACTATTTACGCTTGGGCGTAAAGAGGCACAAGCTCAAGTAAAAACTAATTAAAGAAAAAGCGATGGTTTGAGAATGCACTGTTTGCCGTTGTAATGAACAACATTTTTCGTAATATCGCAGCATTATAAAAAAAAAAAAAAAAAAAAAAAAAAAAAAAAAAAAACTAAGTTAGGGAACAAGAATACGTTTCACCTAAAGATAACCTCTCAAAACGACTTCCAACTTTTTTTTCAATTTTGCTAATGCAAACAAGCATCTGCCTAGTAATAATGGTTCGATCATTTTGTCTGTTAACTCAATAATTGTGTTAGTTTACATTATAAGTACTATCGATATGTCGAACTATTGACAAGAATGCAACAACGAGCTTAACCGATTAAAACAATCGATTTATACTTTCAAAACGTGCGATTGCTAACAATCGTTCTTTATCACCAAGTTTTTAACAGCTGACTTTTACTACCTATGCTTTTACAAGCTTTTTCGTCATACTGCAGCAAAAACAGCAGTTTTTAATAAATGCGTTGTGGGTCTAAAATAGCTATATTAATCCCCAGGGAGTAAAAAGCCTTTTTAGTACCTAGTGAGTAAAAGTTAGCTGTTGTACACAGTTGTTAATTTCGATTGTAAGCAATCGCATGGATTGAAATAATTTATCGATTGATTTCTTAGATTATGTTTGAGCTTATTGTTGATATTGTTGCATTGTTTCAATAGTCCGACATATCGATGGTATAATAAAGGCTACAGTAACACCCCCAAAATGATTGAAACACTTACTACACAGCTGCTTATTCACATTAGCAGAATTGAAAACAAGTTGGAAGTCGTTTTGGGAGATAATCTTTACATGAAAGTGTTTTTGTTTTCTAGCTTAGTTTGTTAGTTAATTAGTGATGCAATATGGCGAAAATAGAGTTTTAGCTATCCAACAATTACTAAGTTGACAACTATTTTTCTTGGAAACTGGTAGGAGAGCTGTAAAAGGTTAGTCTAACTGCTTCTGTAACTTTAACAAAAGGCATATCCTTTGCACAATGTTTTACTGTGTGTTTAACATCAAGTCATTTCTTCTAATTTGGTTTAATTAAACTGCGCTCGATAAAGTTAATCATAGTTATGGAACAGCATCCTTCAATCAAACTCCCAACTAAAAATAAGTACGGTATCAAAACTACAACGCAGTAAACAAATCAGGCAATGACTTGAACAATATTTTTGTAGGAAGTAAATTGATAAAATGTTCAACATTCCATTTTGTTTATAATACGTTTATATGAAGCTGAAATCTTCCCAAAATATCTTAAAATTCTACATTGTATATGTTGTTCCAAAGGGTTCTGTCCATAAATAGGATTGTAATATCAAATCAAACGTCGAAGCTTCTTTTTGAGACACCCTGTATTTATGTTTTGTAACAATAAACTGCTCAATGAACGGAAATTTTCTTTCATTGCAGTTTGGGAGGCCAATTTTAAGTTACTCGCCAAACAAAATTCTATAATTATATATTGCAAATAGTCTAGGCATTCAGAATTGAAAAAAAATTTTATACTATTAACTTCATATAAAAGAATGGCCATTTAGTGCCGTTTGTCTATACAAATGCTTACAATGTTGGGCATTGGACAAAATATTGATAATTAATTACATAAACGATAAAAGCTTGAGTTTGTCAAGTAAAACCTAAATTCAGCAAAATTAACCAAGCTTTAGTTAGTTGAATTTTGTTGAAAGCTGTTGAATTTTCCATACTTGTTTTTAGAACTGAAGAGAATCGAGACACCTATGACACTGATGATTGGTGGGTCCTGTTTGATTAATTTCTAGCAAAACATTCTACAAAACATGCGTTCTGATTTTCCATTGGCGTTTAGAAAATAGTGATGATAGTGCTTTTTACAGTACTTTATCTAGGAAATCTAAGGAATAGAGTTTTGGCTTGCTGGGACACCGACATGAAATAGTTATAATTTTTCATTGTGTTTGTACCACCTTGTAAACTAGCTTCTTCACGACATGGGAATGTCAATCCTCGTCCTCCTATCTATCTTTACGAAAAATCACTTCTCGGCTGACTGGGTTTGTCAACCAGTATTGTTGTTGGGTAAAGTTGAAATTTTCAGAACGTAGGTTTTGTTGTAGGTTGCTACGTCACAGGTTGCATAACTCTTAGTAGAGAAATGTAGTAAAAGTATGTCAACCCTGCAAATTGCGATTCCCAGTGAATGGTCAACCTGTTCTATAGCGCGGGGTGTGGTGTGGAGCAAAGCTGCAAACTTGATACGGATTCTGGTAATCACTCATTAGTGAATGTCTCGCAACAAGCCGTCGCCGTCCAACACGTACATTGCAAACCGGTCATTTAATATTGCCGACCTCTGTCGCCTGTCACTCAATTAGATATATTTATGGTGACTTGTTAGCAAATTCATGTTTTCTTCTTTTAATCAATAGTATACGTTACTAGACCTGAAAATATGTGTTTACCGGACGAGTGTGATCGTTCCCGTGCGAGACGAAGTCGAGTGCGGGATTACCATAAGAGTCTGGTAAACACATTTTGGACGAGTGGCGTACGATATTTTACGCCATACTACTCTAAGCTAACGTGACGATAAAAATCTGTGCAAATCCTTGTTTATTCTTACCGACTAAAGGACTAACAATCACTACTTTTAACATCTAAGAGAGGTCATTTTTTTCTTTTTAATCACTCATTGTCAAATATAATCAGTTGATTGGTGTCCGGTAAAACTCATTACAGGACAGTAGTAGGTAATGAAACCCCATTTGATTAAGCTGGTGGCAAACAGCTGTTTTCTGGACTAAATACTTGCGTGGGAAGTCTGTTAAAACAGTAGCGTGGCGTAAAACAGTATAAATGCCTATCATCCAATATGAATAATGGTTCATAGTAGTTAAAATAGTTATGTAACTACGGTACTATTAAAGCCAATAATTCTTTTCGTCCAAAAATCAGACAATTAATATATCTCTTAATACCTTCTAAATGACCGTGAAGATCCCAAATGATGTTTTAAGTTTACACATGGTTATAACTAGATAGCTTCTTGATTAGCATTGTACGTTTTATTAAATTTACGGAAAGTAAACAAATACCCCCGCCGCAGCAAACCTGCAGACTAAGCGAATTTCCATTTGCCTGATTGGATTTACACTAAAATGTCTCCTTAAAAATATCACATTTATTCCCTATTTAAATAACATTAGTTTAACGAGTACTTACGTTTGATGCAACAGGGAGGGTAAAAAGGTGTTTTTTTTGTAAAATGTTAATAGTTTAATATTAAAATAATGCATTTCCTAAATTTGATCAAAATATGATCATAAACAAGCAAACTACAACAGTTTACTTATTCTCCATAAGAATAACATGGGAATTTTAAATTTACAGTTTTTTGGAATTTTCTCCGTAACCATTAGGTGCATAATAACGCTTCAATATACTAAATTATTTGTTTTTTTTTAAGCTCTACCAAATGGTTTGGAAAGAAAATGCTAAATTTTAAGTTTTTAGGGTCAAAAATGGGAAAAGCAAATTTTTGCTCCATAAAACCCCCCATAAACCCCTGTTCCCATAGTCCGATCATGCTGGTTCGCGAACTCGTTCGAATAAACGCAGATTTACTCGTTTGTACCAAATTTCATCAAAATCGGATGATTTTTGCTCGAGTTATCGTGCTAAAGGACACACACACACACACACACACACACACATATATATATATATATGAATTTGGACGGATGGTGTTTTTGGTCTCTAGGGACCTCAAAACGAAAAAGTACCATGAGTACTACGGTAATAGCTTATTCCCTATAGGGGAAATTTGCTAAAAATACACTTGAAACATATATTTACACCTAGATTGTTAACTCACAAGAGGATAAATATATATAAAAGTTAATTTATACCAAGAATAAGCGCTTAACAAACCAGCAGTTTGCATTGGGCGAGGCGGTGAAGAATCACTATATCTTCTCTTCGCCGTGGCGAGGCACGGGCAGAACAGCTAGTATTATATAAAAATGGTAAGTGGTAAGTGGATTTCGGTTGGGCACTCCAATCATCATCGCACCGATAGGCGTTAATAAGATAGTTCATTGTCAATAATGCATCTAATTGTTTGAATTGCAGATAATAATATTACATAAAATTCAATTAATTTAATTAGTAATGTGTAAAATCTAAATGTTTCTATACTGTTTCCAATATTGATTTTGCTTGTACTGCCCATGGCCAGGTGCTTGCGCTGCTGCTGGTCGTCGCCTGCTTTGCCGCAGTCGACGCAGGGTTTCTGGGAGGATATCATAGCTACCCCATCATCAAAAGCTACCATAGCTACCCCGTCTACAAGAGTTACAGCAGTTACCCCATCTATAAGAGCTACAGCAGCTACCCCGTCTACAAGAGCTATAGCAGCTACCCCATCTACAAAAGTTACAGTTCACCGATAGTCATCAAGAGCTACGGCTCAGGCTGGTGGTAGAACGTCACCACCAGAGAAATTGTTTGCCCAATTTCTTTATAACTTTAAACAACTAAATACGTTTTTTGTCATCATGCCTTCATGTCAATCAACAAATGTTTGCCTTTTTTGGTTTCGAACAGTTTAATTTCACACCAATTTTAAGTTAAGCTAAATATGTAAACATGAAATTTGTTTTATGTTCATTCTTTTTCCAATTTTCTATTTCCTGTATCTCTCACTTGAATCTCTTTAAACAAGTTCTAGTCTCATGATGTCTTATGTTACCAATAAAATTCTAGTTATTAATATATTGAATTTCATCTGCTATACCCTCGTCAAAAATCATTAGTTATTTCGTAAATTGACTGCATTTTTTGTAGGTGCCTTAAGGTTGCAGTTAGTGGCTTTGAATAAATCATTGAATATTTTGACACTTCCTGAATGAATTACAGAAAAAGAAAACACCAGGCTATAGAATAGATTTTTATCTTGTAGTTCTTAACTAGCAATAGATTGATTCAGATTTGACTTTCGAGCAATTGATTGAATAAAAGTAGCACCTTCATTACGCTTCATGGAAAGTTTGTTCCCGATAAGACTTTTATGTTTCAAGACTTCCCCCACATTTTATACATCAAAACACGGGTCCAGACCCAAGCAGATGTGAAGTGTGCATATTTTTTTGCATTTCCCTATAACCAAATCTAGCGATTTGTAAAATAAAGGGTGTCCCAGTAAGAACGCCGGATTTGAGGAGCGTCTTATCCTTATCTGTATTTCAATAGGAATTCCCAAATTATCAGCGATGTTACCCGTATTAGGTCCCATTTGTAGTCATGAATCGCTACACGACGTAACAACGCGTGGTCATAGTTAAAGTGCACTACAAGTACGGAAGCTGCGCACTATTTACGGCCGGGACAATGCACCAAATGATCCATCTGTCCGAAGATTGGTTTATAAGTTCGAATAAATTGGCTCAGTTCTATACTGGGGATATTAATTTAAAGTCGCTTGTTTTCGCCAATAACCCTCAAACAATCCAAGACTTGAAGGAGGAAATGATTCGTACCATTAATGGAATTCAACAGGAAGTGTGTGAAAAAGTGATGGAAAACTTTGTCAAGAGATGTCGAGCTTGTCAGTTATTCAGCAGGTTGGCACTTACGAGACATAATACTCAATTACTAATCGGAGATATTATGCTTTAAGATTCATGTTTCATATTGTAAATTTAGCGAGAAAATATATGGTTTGTTAACATTTCAAATCCGGCGTTCTTATTGGGACACCCTTTATAAATTGCAACTGGGCGTATTTTAACGCAAGAGTGAAGTAAAGGTTAAAGTAGAATTATTCCCGTCTCGAAAAACGAAAATCGGTTCACCTAATGTTTTCTTTTTAAACTTGAGAAATATTACCGGTCAGACACGGATTGTAAAAAAATCAAAGAAAAACTCATTTGTTTTTCAATGGCTCGATTTATGGACTCGAACAGTTAACTTATTCTCCAAAAGAATAACATAGACAATTCAATTTTACACCTTTTTGAATTTTTTCCGAAACCAAAAACCGTATTAAAAACGTCTAGGTTATTTGTCTTTTAAGCTCTTCAAAATAGTTTAAAGAGAAATTGGGAAATCTTATGTTTATTTTATTTACGTTTTAAGGGTCAAAAATGGGAAAACCCCTATTTTTACTCCCATAAAACCCCGTTCCCATAGTCCGATCATGCTAGTTCGCGAACTCATTTAAGTTTATCCCGCCCTACACACCCAAGCCAAATTTCATCAAAATCGGAAAGAAATCGTATTCATGGACACACACACACACACACACATAAATATAAATATATACATACACAATTTGAAAAATTAGTCTTTCTGGCCTCTGGGGACATCAGAATTAAAAAGTAAATCGGTCATGGACCTAGGTCTTGCCGTGTGGCCAACGGTAATAACTACTTCCCTATATGGAAATACGCTAATAAACTAAAATTTAGACACCTTTGTATACAGTTTTGAGACAAACGATTATATTTCCCTTGACCTAAAATAAGATAATTTATTAAAGAAGGCCTCCTCTATAAAAGGAGATGAACACAGTAACCAGGCCTTCCGCTTGTGGTAATTTGTATTCATCAATGGCGGTCGTTTGACATTTGTACTAAGATTGCTAAAGGTATAGAACCAATGTTTCTGATAAACAATTTAATGTAATATGAGGCAAAGGGATTGTAGACCTTTCCTAAATGTTTAAATCCACAAAACATTTTAGGTTTTAGATGTTATTAAATTTACATGTAACTTCCCATACTATTATTATTTACAGTACCGAAGAACTTCTTAAGCCTGGGCTGCCCTTAATGCAGACTTTCAAAACAAAATACTAATCGACTATCTAAGTTTTATAGAATTGGCACTTTTATTGGTAATTGATTTAATTGGTGAACTGCTATCCAACCACCAACATTTAAACAATGGGTATGTGGGTTTGGTTATTAGTAAACTTTATACCAACATCTAAACCAAAATTATCTCTTTACAAAGAAACGTGTTGATGTGTTGTATAAAGTTGGTGACATGAGGGCATTAACCTATTATGTTTTGACTGTCCAACGTTGAGCCCGCAGCATTGCTTGCGTAATTTCCGTAACTTGACATAAACCTCTATTTTTTCAATGATTTAACTGGAAAAATAAAAAACACAGAAAACGTGTAAAACACAATATATGTAACAGTAATTATAGATTGTTGTTTCACCGAGTCTAAAAATAGCATCTCAGAAAAATCCTCCACCAGCGTATATGTGCAGAAACCAAGCGTAATTTTGCTAATATCCACCAAGCATGTTAGCAGGTAAGGTTTTCGTAAACAGTGATTACGTAAAATCTAGATTGTGTTGAAACCAATTTTTATACCATGAAGTTTGTTGCAATATTTGCATCATACTGATTTTTAACAGCATTTAGATTTTGTTCATTGTTTATTTATTTGTTATATATATATATATATATATATATATATATATATATATATATATATATATATATATATATATATATATATATATATATATATATATATACGCAAGCAGTTTTCTTTTCACAGTCATAACGCAATAACGGCTTGATGGATTTTAAAGTTTGAGGTGTCAAATTAAAGGTATTTTCACGTAGATGTGCAAATACGTCTCAGAATGTTTAGAAAGGGCACCACTTAAGTACACTTAAGGGCTAAAGTTTGGAAGGCGGCGCTATCTGTTGACATCTGATCAAACTCATTTCCCTTTGTTTACAAATAACATATGAACGTAGTTTGAAATAGTTTTTAAGTTTAACCACAGACTGCAGAACTTAAAACTTCCAGAGCAAAGCTGGAATTTATATTTTGTTTCAATCTGTCAACTAAGTCTGGTCCATAATTAAAAAAAGTGTTTAAGAATAAATATTTAATAAATATTTAATTCTTTTTGTCTATGGTTAAATTGATTTACCTTACATCGTATTTGACTGATTATCATGTAGTTAGAGTTCGATTTGATGAAGTGAATGTTTAAAAGTGATTATTCACAGGGTAGTTATCCGTTACATTACCATATTATCATGTAATTTACAATGTGTATCAAAATTCCAATTCCTTTACAGTGTTTTCTGTTGTTTGGTTAACTTTCCTCTTTCATTTCAATTTAAAATCAAATGCCGCCAGTACGACGAAGAACTGTGAGTGGCTGGAGGGAACGCGAACGCGAACGCGACCGCTTGCATCAACCTCTCAATTGAAAATTTGATGGGTACATAGTGGTAGTACCACCGTTGTGATAGTCCAATCTCGGACAAATGAACGTTAAATGTTTACATTGTAGTGGCTTACATATTTTTAAGCAAGAAAAGACTGGCCGAGACAGTTAAGTTTGTAGGCTACTCTTTGTTGCCATAAATGAAAGGTTCGTTTACCTCATTTGTGCAATTCACCACAATAAACTTCGGGTTCTTAATGGAAACTCTCAATCTGAAAATAGGACTGTTAGACTTATATCCAGAAATTATTTGGATAAAGTTCGTCAATTCGGTTCTGCCTTTACCATGGTCAGATCCAAAGCTCATTAAGATGAGAAAGTTCCACAGGTTATCTACAATTTTAAGATCCGTGACACGTTTTACCACCGAGTGGGTCCTCTAGTTCCTCAAGAAGGTGATGATCCTGAATACGCACAGATATTTAAGTAAGTACGACAATGTCACTAGAACCCAAAGGAGAACTAAGCACAATTAAAAAAAAATGCAATGAAAACATATGCGGGAAATAGGGTCACAATGCCAACCCATTTGCAAATCTTTGAAGACTGTGGCAGACATTATGTAGGGACAAGAGCTCCGAGGAGTCAAGTGAGATTCTTATGTACATAATAAGAGACAGAAGAAGTGTCTTCCCTCGCTACAATGGTTCTACCTGTGTAGATTTCGCAGCAATTTCTAAAGCTGAAAACAAAGCACCACCTGGCCAAATAAATCGTATAGTTTTTTCCAACACTAATAATATTAAACGCGTATCCATTATAGATCTGTCGTTAGATCCACTTGCTTACCCTCTTATGTTCCCAACCGGAGACTTGGGTTGGGGCCCCTAATTTAAATACGCCTAAAACAGAACACATCAAAGAAATAATTTAACAATGCTAGAATAAGAGTAGCTATGGTTGGCGTCAAGAGAGGAATTGAGCTACATTAGGTCAAAAGCTAACTTTACAGTGTGTGGTTGACATCTACGTGCTCATAGAGTGCACCCGCCTACTATACATAAGAGATAACCAAAACAGTACGAGAGTGAATGTAAATTTAAATATTGTAGATTGCTTTTATATTTTTTACATCATAATATTTTTATATTTCTATAATCAGTCATATAAATTATTTTAGAGTGACTCTTTGATTAAGGTCTTGCTGTTTATGTTTTTTGTAAAAATTTTTAGAAAAGTTTCAGTTTTACTCGATTTCGAGCAACAGGTTATCTAGTTTGTTTTGTTATTTGTTTTTGTCCTCGTTTTAACGTAACGTTAAACGTAAAACTAGCGACTTCATTTTGATGAGCTCTAAAAACAAATTATTTAGTAACTTGAAGCATTGTTATACGCTAAAATGGTTATGAAGAAAATGAAAATACCTCCGCCTCAGCAAACCTGCAGACTAAGCGAATTTATACTTGCCTGATTTGATTTTACTTAAATCTATTTCAATAACATTATGTTGAAGGTTCGCTGTTACAGGGAGGTTAATACAGTATATTTTTTAGAAACATGATCATAGCTAAGTATAAGAAATTTAAGAAATGTTATGTTTTTTGGGGTAAAAATGAAAACTAACAGTCTTTACCTCATAAAACCCTGTCCCCAAGGTCCGATCATGCTGGTTCGCGAACTAATTCAAGTTTATCCCAGCCTACAACGTTACTCCTACAGAAATTACTAAATTTATCGCTTTCACGGACACACACATACATTATATGTATAAATATATATATATAACAGTT